TAAGGCGTCGCCTTAAAAACATAGGTTCACATGGACAGCCTCACTAGCTTACTTGCCAGTTATCCCCTATGCTTAGGTTTGCGCTGCTGCCACGGCCTCTGTTGATATTCTTTCCTTGATGGCCTCATCAACGGTTTTCTTTGTCCCTTCAAGCTCTCTTATGTGAGTGTTTCGCCTATCTCGGTGAAGTACTTTTGCAAGGCAAGTCCTCAAACAATGTGGCAACAGCGGTTGGAATAATATGATCATCATTCTATTCAATAGTGCTGGGTTTTGTCAATAGGGGTAGACTTATATTAGGAGAACAGTTCGCTCAGTCTAAATTAACTACAGAGGGACCACTTACTGCACATGCGCAAAAATATTGAGGGTCTGACACTTCTAGGGAGTCGAGCGTGTTCTTTGGTGGTGTCTTGTCTCATGATCTCATCGTTGTGACATCCTATTGCATTTCCCAAGTGCTTTCAGTGTCATCTCCTCCCGTTTGGTTCAGTTGTAACTTCATCAGCCTTGCTGAACAACCTGAAGCTTGAGCTTGTGAAGTACTTCCTCCGTTCCTAAATAGAGTGTATTATTTTTTTTAAAGTCAAACACTGTCTATGTTTGACCAAGTTTATAGAAAAATATATAAAGATCTACAATACTAAATAAATAAAATATAAAAATATAATTCATGATGAATCTAGTGATAATGATTTGGTATTCTAGACATTGATATTTTTGTCTCCATGAAATTGGTCAGTTAGAGAAGTTTGACTTTTTGAAAAAATAATACACCTTACATTTAGGAGATGGAGTACTAATATTCTCCTTTGTGTATGTTCCCTGCGAGTGCTAACCTTTGGTTTCTTGTGCAACTCGTCCTGAAAAAGCATTTGGATTACTGTTGTTTGATCTTTTGTATTAACAGAAGCACACCTGAAACATATGTTTGTGTGAATAGTTGTTTTTCCTTACTGAAGATGTATAATGTTGTTCTGGACTTGAAACTCCATCGCTTCATCTGCCATCTAGTAATTGATTGGAGAAGCTCACACTTGTCATTGCATCCTCACACCGAAGATAAAGAATGCTGTTTAGAGATAAGAATAATCTTTTGCCAAGTAATTGCTACAATTTGAGAAACAAGATGAATCACTTGTGTTATGTTTTATTAGTTTGGTTTTATGTTATCTGAATCCGAATCTGACCTGCATTACCCTGCTCTATCTGAAGAAAAAGGCACTTCATTTTTTCTCACATTTAATGATTCCTGTATTTGTGGGTTCAGGTTTGCGATGAGCTCGAGGACAGGATGGAAGAAGGCGGTGTACTAGTAGATTATCACGGATGTGATTTCTTTCCAGAACGTTGGTTTGACCTTGTGGTCGTGCTTCAGACCGACAACTCAATTCTGCATGATCGCTTGACGAGCAGGTAATTTTGTATCCAACTTGGAACTCTTGGAGCAAGTGGAAGTGATATGCGACACTTATTTCTGACACAATTTTGTTTTGGTCGCAGAGGCTACATGGGTGCCAAGCTCACAAACAACATAGAGTGTGAGATCTTCCAGGTGCTCCTGGAGGAAGCGAGGGAGAGCTACAAGGAGGATATAGTGATGCCGCTGCGAAGCGACAGCGTCGAGGATATCAGCAGGAACGTTAGCACGTTGACGGAGTGGATAAACAACTGGAGACCATCCCAGTGAGCTACCAGTTCGCCGTATGCTTTCAGTGTCGGGGGATTGTGTTGTGGATGGAGCCCGTGGGGGCAAGCTGACTGTAAATTAGCTGGTCTGGTCGAGTTTTTTCTTATTACAAGTGCGATGCGTGATTTGAATTTGTACCGATGAAAAGATGGGTATTGCTGCCGGAACACATGAGTTGGATTTGCATCTGTTGGCTGTTAGGGCATCCTTTTTTGAGAACGAAGTTACTGAGGACGGGCTCATTGGAGCCCAGTTTTTTCAAATGATTAACAAAATGATATTTCAATGATTCAAAAATTCAAAAAATATCTGTAAAGACTTGTACATATTTGTGATGGATCTGTAAAATGTCATTCAAAAATATTAATTTGGAAGCTGCGCAAAATATAAATCCTGGCCCAACAACAACAAAAATGGTCCGTTTTTATATATGTATTTGTTTTTTTGTGTCTACACCACATATGAAAATATATTGTCATGAAAATTTCCTTGAACATGCTATCTATGTATTTGTGTATGTATAATTTTTTGGTTTTCTTTACGATGTGGAAATATGTTTCTTTTTAAACCCCTGCATTAAACCTGTCCTCATTTTTCACTTTTTGATGCTGTGCAGAATATTTGGTGAGGTGGCTAAGATTAATTTGGACATCAATTCTATTGAGTTAGCTTAAGAAATAAAATTTGTCACTTGTTCCTTGGAAAAGGTAGGCAATGAAATCTTTGCTGTCTTGCCGATAATGGGAATTATCAACAACAGACACAAAGCACCTTGTTAACCAATTGTAGGCCACTGACTCAATCTTGTGCCAATGTAGTCGTCGTCATGACAAACAGGAACTTGGTCGGCAAGGACATGGAGGTGGTAGTCTTGGTTGGCACAGACTTGGTCAAGGTACAAATGCACCGTCCAAGTAGTGGCTACAACAATATATCGCTGCAACAAAATCCACCATCCTCGCACCCATTGAACAACCCCCATGAAGTTTGGCTTGATCCCAAGCCGACGACAAGTAAGACCACCACCCCAGGGCAAGTGCAATAGATAAATGGTACGGACAACTGAGCTTCTGATCTCAATCTTCAAGCAATAGATCACATGAGAGCTCTTTGAGCAGTTCTTGTAACCAGTCCATTGCATCAGTGCATGATCTCGTTGGTTCAGTTCTGGAGCAGAGAAGTCAGCCATTTTTCATAGAAAAGTTGTCAGGATCACATGCCAGAATTGGAACAGTGCAACCCCTTGCAGCAAACATGAACATTATTAGTTGCTTCCACTTGCATAGATAACCTCCAGTCCTTAAATTTGTACAGATAAGAATCACCCAGTGCACCTTACACATGGAACTAGTAATGCAGCAACTCAACCAAGCAATGACCCAAGGAAATTGCTCACTTCTGTAAAGTTCTTCAATAGCTGCATATAATAAAGTACTTCCACCACTACAGTATACTAGTATAGCACCACTGAAAAAGTAGTCAGCTGAGTTTTTCTTCTCAGGAGAAACATTCTCAAAAAGGCCATGGCTTCAGCCTCACTAGTACCACCTTCCCGTAGGTTATCCCAAGAAAATAAATGTTGGGCTAAACCCGTAGCATTCACTTGCAAGAAACTTCCAGAAACATAAAACACATGCCAAGGAGAAGCCTAAAAAATTTCAGCAGTTGACTGCACATATTGACTATATGACCACCATTTCCCAACTCCTCCGAGAATTTGCATCTTATGCTCAGCAAAATATGCATCAGTAGGTCTGAATCGTGTAAATGACAAGTACCAAGCAGTAACATCACCAATACAATAGCAGATCTCCTCACCATGCTGGGAAACAACAATTTCTTGAAAATATCACCAGAAATTTCCCACTGAATTTGTTCAGAAGCATAAAAGGGGACCCCTCTGAAGGAACTGAGCGCCAGAATACTTAGGTTCAGTGGTGGTGGCCATGGACTTAGAACCTCAAGGTCATGTATCACCCCACCAGAGTGACCATGCATGAGGAATAGAGCGTGACAATGGTACTGCAAGGAATGGTTGCATGTACTTGTTCGCAATGGTGTGCTGAAATATAGGATGGGCGTTAGGCCCATCTAGCAATTTTTGAAAATCTCTAAGGGCCCATGTGGGTTTATTGGCACTAGGTGTAGTGGGAAGTTTAGTCCCACTCCTATAGTGGAGAAAGAGTTGGACCTCTTTATAAGGAATTGTCTTCCACATGCTATTGGACCTTGAGAATAAAAGAGGCTCCTCCTCCGTCGCCCGCCTCGCCACGTCACGCCTCGTCACGACGCGACGCGGGTTGCGGATTGAGCCGAGCCGATCTCACATGTACGCACTTATTTTTGCCAGTCACTAACGAAGACTGGGCCACGATCTGAAACATCGGATCATGGTCTGTCATGGACTCGGACGTGGGTCGAGCCCACGTCTCTCCATGCGGCTGCACCTATATATGTGTGCGGTGTCTCCCAACCCTAGCTGGCACGAACATATCACATCTAACCCCGTCCCTCCGGTTCCTGTACGGGAGTGGGACAAATAGGTTTTTGGGAAGCGTCTGCTCGCTATTCGTCTACTTCCTATACGTCCGTGTCGTCCTCATCATCATCATGTCTACCGACGCTGAACGTGCCGCCGCCGAGAAGCTCGAGACCGCCAAGGACACCGCTACTGCCGCCACCGCCGCGGCGGCCTCTGCATGACCTACTGGAGGTTATAACTCGTTTATCCCGCTCCTTCTATTTTCTGTTTTAACCATGCTAGCATTATACGTAGATCTGTCTGCAATTAGCGTAGTATGTGCTTGCATGATTGAATATCAGTATGTGATTATTTTTGTCAATGCTATGTTAGTGATTTCCTCGTGGATTAAGTTAATCAAAAAATTGCCTATTTATTCAGCAATCAAGAAACCTATTATGTGTAGGATTTTTTTCGGTGAGTGGCTTTGCCGCAGCACTGAAACCGGATAAGTTTACCGATACATATTTTAAGCGTTGGCAGACAAAGACCACCTTATGGCTCACTGCTATGAACGTGTTCTAGGTCACCGGTGTTCCTTCAAGAACGTTTGCTCCTGAACAGGAAAAGGCATTCAAGGAAACCATCATCGTGTTCCTAGGAGCAGTTCCTAGCGTGATCGGAGATAAGTTGGTCGACGTATATTTACATGTGCGTGTTGCCAAGGACTTTTGGGAGGCGCTCGAATCTAAGTTCGGGGCCACCGATGCTGGGAGCAAAATGTATATTATAGAGCAGTTCCATGATTACAAGATGGTTGAAAATTGTCCTGTACTGGAGCAGGCTCATGAGATAATATGCATCGTCAAGGAGCTTGAGCTTCTTAAGTGCGAGTTACCGGGCAAGTTTGTCGCGGGCTGCATAATTGCTAAGCTCCCTAATTCCTGGAGGAACTTTGCCACCACTCTGAAACATCAGAGGAGTGAATTCTCTGTGGAGGATGTCATTGGCCATCTGAGTGTTGAGCATAATTCGAGGGCAAAGGACTCGCACGGAAAAGGGGCCAAAGGGACTTCTGTCACCAAGATGGTGAACCAGAGGAACTTCAACTCCCACAAGCCCAAGGAAAAGAATGGTGTCCAACAGAATATTGACTTTAAGAAGAAAGGCAAGAAGACCTTCAAGAAGAACAAAAAGGACGATGGCTGCTTTACTTGTGGTTCGATTGAACATTGGGCCAACAAGTGCCCAAACAAGTACTAGAAGCCAGGACAGGACTCCAAGTCTGTCAACATGATTATGGGCAACAATGAGAATGGTGCATCTGGGTACGGTAATTTATTTAATGTTTTTTCAGTGTTTCAGCCCACCGATTGGTGGGTGGACACAGGTGCAGGTGTTCATGTGTGTGCTGGCATTTCATTGTTTTCTTCTTACCAGGTCATAGGCCACGGGTCCGTATTGATGGGGAATGGCGCGAGTGCTTCTATTCATGATGTTGGCACAGTCGATCTGAAGTTTACTTCGGAAAGGATCGTGCAGCTGAAGAACGTGCAACATGTCCCCGCCATCAAAAAGAACCTCATTAGTGGCTCCCTTCTATGTAGAGAAGGGTTTAAGTTTGTTTTCGAGTCTAATAAATTAGTTGTTATGAAATATGGACTCTTTGTTGGAAAAGGTTGAAGGAAATATGCCCTAGAGGCAATAATAAAGTTGTTATTTATATTTCCTTATATCATGATAGATGTTTATTATTCATGCTAGAATTGTATTAACCAAAAACTTGATACATGTGTGAATAAATAGACAAGCAGAGTGTTGATACGTCTTCAACGTATCTATAATTTTTGATTGCCCCATGCTATATTATCTACTGTTTTAGACATTATTGGGCTTATTTATCCACTTTTATATTATTTTCGGGACTAACCTATTAACCGGAGGACCAGCCCAGAATTGCTGTTTTTGCCTGTTTTTGGGTTTCGAAGAAAAGGAATATCAAACAGAGTCCAAACGGAATGAAACCTTCGGGAACGTGATTTTCTCAACAGATAAGACCCGGGAGACTTGGATCCTACGCCAAGGCACGTAACAGGAGGCCACGATGTAGGGGGCGTGCCCCCCCACCCTCGTGGCCCCCCTGTTGCTCCACCGACGTACTTCTTCCTCCTATATATATCCACGTACCCCCAAACGATCAGAACAGGAGCCAAAACCCTAATTCCACCGCCCTAACTTTCTGTATCCACGAGATCCCATCTTGGGGCCTGTTCCGGAGCTCCGCCGGAGGGGGCATCGATCACGGAGGGCTTCTACATCAACACCATAGCCCCTCCGATGAAGTGTGAGTAGTTCATCTCAGACCTACGGGTCCATAGTTAGTAGCTAGATGGCTTCTTCTCTCTTTTTGGATCTCAATACAATGTTCTCCCCCTCTCTTGTGGAGA